CGGTGGTCCATGCTATGCAGAAAGTTTAAGATCCCGTTCTAATCCAACTGCTCTGAGTGCAGAAGGCTCCCTCAGATGTTTGTAATGCTTTGTCAAAGCTAGTTTTAAATCACGGTTACGGACGGGAAAGCGACACTAACAAAGGCAGAGGTCGGCCCTGTTTGCTGCATTTAGAGGTGCAGCGCTGTGCTTTCTAACTGGCAGCCCAAGCAAACTCAACCTGGGTATGAAAGGCCCACTAGGGGGTACCTGGCTGTGCATCAGAACTTAGCGAGCAATTCGGTGGAGGTGGGAACCAGAGGAAAATCTAGTTCCTTTTCCCCATGGCAGGTTGGTTCTGCAGCGCCAACACCTTGTGATACTCAGTGAGGCACCCAGCAGCTGCTCAGACTGGGTACACCCAAGGTGCCGGGCTATTGAGGCAGTGAGGTCTGTTTTTACAGACACTTTTTGGAGGACCTCAAACAACATTAACTATGGCCGGCAGCAAGGTCTAGTGCCTAGGACACTAGACTGGGAGTCAGAAGGTGGAAGCCACCTCATTACTCTTGCAATACAGCTGTCAGTCTGGGTTCTCCGGCTACCAAGTATTGGAGCTCTCCCCATGGATTATCACAGAAACTGAAACTTTGTCAGTTACAACAACCTACTGAATGTAGCATGTCCCCACAGTAGATTTTGCTTAGACTTCTACAAAGCTTGGCTGTCCAGCGCAGCCAGGGAGAATGATAAGATGTAGCCGCTTGCTCTCGTAGGGGAGGGGTAATTCCAAGTTGATCTATTCTGTAGTTCGAATATTCCCAACTTCAAGCAAATAGTGTGTTATCCACTTATCAATGAAGCACAAACAAAGATCATGGCTGTGCATTTGCTCAGAAGGCAGGTAGGTGTATATGCAAGCTAGACACGTGACCGGGGGTATTATGTCTTCACTGCAGAGTTCACTCATGCTTTTGCTTGGGTGTTGCCCCTAACCGCCCTTCTGTCCACACACAAAGCCCTGCCACTTGAGTTAAGTGGTGCTTTCAGCCCATGCGAGCTGGGGCTGTAGACTAAAGCCCGAGAGGCGCTTTTTCTCAGGCTAGAAACCTGCCCACTTTGCAGGGAGGCTAACTGATAGTCCTCCAGTGCCTTCCCATAATTCCCTCTGCGTGCCCAGGAGGGCACAGTCCCCCACTATCCCCTGGGAAAGACTCATCAAGCAAGTCAGTATATCGCAGCACAAAGACCCATGGGGTGCACCCCACGCAGTCCTAGCAACACAGGGGTGAGTGCACCAGAGGACTCAAGAGCTTGAGTGGCTTTGCAGTGTGGCTGCTCACATCCAGCTGAGGCTGACCTGGGTGCCAATCACCCGACTTAGTTCCACAGTGAAAACACCCTAAATTGCTGGCGAGTTAGCAATGTGACTGGGGTGAGGGTGGGGCAAAGTTTAGATTCTCCTTGTGGTTTAGTGCTACAGCTTTATCGTTCTACTGCCAGTGACTAGTGCTGAAGAATTCTGTAAGAGAACAGAACAGGCAAAGTGGTTTGAGCACAAGACTGAAATCACGAGATTTAGACTCTACTCCCAATTCTGCCACAGCCTCATTAGGGGAGTCACTCAACCTATGTGCCCCACTTTCCCCTTCCTGTAAAATGGGGTTAACTCTTCCCAACCTGAACTCAGTACTGACTCTAATGTTCTCAGAGACCCTCAGCGGGAAGGCGCAATGCAAGTGCCTAGGGTGTTAAGAGAGACACAATCCAACACACCACAGTACAGGTAATTTAACAGCCAGAGAGCCACATTTATTACTTTCAGATGTTTCTATACAGATGGGGATAACCAATCAGAGGAGCGGAAGAAAAGCACAAATTATGTGGAGAATTATTTCCCCTTGATACATCCCTGTCACACTGGATCATGGACAGAGAAGGAAACTCAGAACATTTACAAAACACAAGAGACTTCCATGAGTTACTGGAAAATAACTAAGTTTGATCAAGTAATGAGAGTGACTTGAAGGCAGACAAGACGTACATCCATCCTCTTTAGGCAGCTGAAGAGAGGCAAACATACCACAGCTAAATGGAAACAAAGGAGGTTTTTAACGGAGGCTTTTCACAATGCTTTATTGTTTGTACACAAGAGTAATGGGACACTGAACGGGATACAAACAGAATGAAGCTCATACAGAACTATCGGACACAGAGGCCATTCAGCAACTTCTCAGGAAGTTAGCAGATACATACTGCAATTTCTTAAAAGGAAAGAAGTAAACGATATGAGGTCACAAAGCTCTCCCCCCCCACTCCCAGCTAGAACTGAACGTAGCTTTATTCGCTCCCAAGTTCGAGCTCCAATGGCTATACACTCAATAAGGCTTGTTCCAAATAGTCAAAAGGCCAAACACCTACCACCCTCCTGCAGGCGCATACCAGCTTACAGGCCTGGGTGCTAGATGTGCAGTGAGAACCATCTTGAGGAACAATGAACAAACCAGACCAGGGCAGACCGTACAGCCAGGAGAAAGCCTTGTGCACAGTTGAGGGGCAACAGGTAGTGCAAACCAGCAAGTGCTGCTCATTAGCAGGGCACCAGGCTTTGGGATGTGAATGGTATAAATATACCAGCCCCCCCCCCCCCAAAAAAAATTTAAAGGGACAGTACCATAGCTAACTCAGTGATGGCAGGTTTGTGAAATGAGATTTATTTTGGCCTTATGTGAGGATCTAGGCCAGATTTTCAGGGGCTCAGTTCCCACTGAGAACAGTGTTAGCTGCTGGGTGCTGAACGTTTTTGAAAAATCTGGCCTCTGGAGCTTTACACTATATTTTTAAGTGAACCTAAAATGGAGCAGAGTGAAGCTCTCTGTGCTGGACGGCCCCACTAGTCAGCACAAACATTCGTTACTTCCTTTTCCACCAGGCACCTGCTCTGTGAAATCCACTCGGAACTTCCTTGGTTCAGTGACGATAGCCCCAAATGTGATAGCACAAACACCACAGGCCCATTGCGACTCATCCAAGCCCCAGCAGTTGTGATGTCACAGGATGAGGCATTCCGGAATGTCTTCATTGAACCAGAAAGTACCAAGTCACCAGGTAGGTTTGTGCTGAATTTCTGCCGAGCACAGCACAATCATCCCGCTGGCCCGGAGATGGAAGCGGTCTAGTCCCCGAATGGATCTGGCATATGGAGTAATGCAAGTGCAAGCTTGCCTCACGCTACCCCACTAGTGTGTCTCCACGCTGCCCTGGAGCAATCTTTAGGAGGCGATAGGGTAGGTCATTCTATAATGCCCCAGTTCAAGTCTTGGCTCCCTTGTTGGTAATGTCTCAGTACTGGGCTAACTTGATACATGATACAGAGAAATTTTCTAGGAACCGGTGCAAGACCCCAAATGTTTCAGTCAGCAGATAGTGGCGACAAAGTTACTAACATTGGCTCCATTCGGCAATCGACTAGGATTTGTGCTCCCACCACTGAGTTATCCTTATTCCCCTGCTTTTTACCCAGCTGGTGTATTCTGATAAACACAACTAGCTTCAGGGATTCTACGCCTCAATTCTAATGACAGCTCACAACACTGCCGCACCCTTAATGTAACGCTGTAGGGTTTGGGATTTTTACTGGTGGTGTTTTATTATTCAGAATAGTGCTTCCATTTACAATGGCCAGACAAAATATTTAGTTGGCTTTTGGTCTAATCTCCAGCCCACTGCCGTTTTGAAAGTGTGTTTGACAAGGCCAGGTTGAGAGGGAAAGGCAAAGAGAAGCCTTAAAAGAAAAGCCAGCTCCAGCCAGCAGCCCACGTCAGCAGGCGTGTTAATGTAAAGAGACAGCCCTTTGATTTTCAGCTGCGCACACTCCTCTAGACAACGCTGGACTAGTGTAACTGCCATTAAGATATAAGCCTGTGTAAATGAGCAGCATGCAGCTCGGTTCTCAGGAACCAAGCAGGGCTGCCCATTCCTGTAATACCAGAGAGGTTTGGGTTTTTAAAAAACAAAACAAACCAGACCAGACGTTTCTGTGATCCTCAAGTCACTTAGTCTCCTATATTTGGTTCAGATAACCCTGGGCGTTTAGCAAGACTGCTCCTGCATTAAGTCTGATTTTAAAAACCCCAACCTTAAATAAACCAGACTCCCAAATAAACAAATTGTATCTTGTGTTAGCTAAGACACAAGATTTTCTAGGGTTAAGGGCTCCATTGCTCAATCTTATGCAACCTGAACAGAGGCAAGAGAGATCTCTAAATGGTTAAGGATGCAATGCAGAAATGGTACCCTTTTCATTAATGTCCCCTTCCTCCCCCATAGGTTTGCCGTTTACACAGGGTCATTAAAAGTGTCACTAAGAAAATGCTGCCGGTGTGAGACTCAAAGGTTGATGTAGTTCAACCAAAGTAGTCAGTGTAACACCCCTTCACATACACAATTACTCCCCCCTGCCCTTTGAATCTGCTTTCCGCAAGCCTAAAGCTAGTTGGATCCCCGCAAAGAACATCCATTCTCTGCTACAAGTCAGGACTTGGGGAGCTTGGCATAAAACATAGCCACACCAGAAGAGGTTGTGAAATATTTATTTTTCATAAAACAAGGTCATAATTGCCAAGGTGTAACAACCAAAACACATTTCCAGGGAGCCAAAGGCACAGTGCATGGAAATGTAGCTCCTCACCACCCTTGTAGTGTGATAGCAAAGGCTGAAATAGAAGGTATTTTACGCTTTGTGGGGCTATCTGATGAACCAGTTCCCTTCTCTAGAAAGGGAGAGGACAGCACAAGAGGTGAACATGGGGAGTTATCTAATGTAGTAACCCACAAGAGATTTAAGCACATGACAGAATTTGACTCCAAGGAGACTATTCACATGCTTGAAATTAAACACATGGTTAAGTAGCTTGCTGAATGAGGGCCTTGGTTAACGCTGCATACCACTGCTTTGGTTCCCGCTCCTACAAACAGTTTGACAACTCGAGTAATCTGAAAAGGGTCGAGAACCTTGCAAGACGTGCAGTGGGGGAAAGGGAGTTTTTTTGTTGTGTTTTCCAATTATAAACTGACTTCTCCATTATTGGAAACCATGAAACTAATCAGCAGACAAACTGGAATAGACTTAGTCCTGGGTCCTTATTGGTCAGTGAGCAGAATCACATGGTGAAGCAATGCCAGGTTGACACTGATAGGGAGGGCTATACAAGGAGCCAAAAATTACTTGTTTAGTACCTCAGCATCAGTCGCTTAAGTGTCGCATGGACGCAGAACTCACCTGGAATTGCAAATTCTCGTTTCTAATCTAGTGGTTTCAGACTCTGGTGGCCCAGGGGGGAATGCGCAGCCAGGCCACAGCTGAAGAGTTCAGCACTGAGGGCATGTCTATACTACTGCGCGGGGTTGATCTAAGATTCGCATCTTCAGGTATGTTAATAGCATAGCTGAAGTTGATGTACTTCGATCTACTTACCGCGGTGTCTTCACTGTGGTAAGTCGACAGCTGACGCTCTCCCGTCAACTCCGCTTGCACGTCTCGTTCTGGTGGAGTACCGAGTCGATGGGATAGCGCTCTGCGGTCGATTTATCACATCTAGACTAGGCGCAATAAATTGACCCCTGCTGGATCCATCGCTGCCCGCCAATCTGGCAGGTAGTGTGGACAAGCCCTTAGTGTGTGTGTGAATGAGACAGAAGAAGAGAACAGTAGTTCTCCCTCAGGGTAAACATTATGCGTGGCTGGGCTTTCCCCGCTATTTGTGCCATTTCCCCCCCATCCCTACCAGCACAGCACAAACGTCAAGGATTGACTAGGCCTGTCGTAGGATATGCCCACAGCCATTACATCTCCAAGACCAGGCGAGTACCAGAGCTATGCTTCAACTAGCAGAGTCACTTCATCACTCAGCATGAAAGGGTTAAGGAATAAAGCCGCAATTTTATTAGTTCAAGAACATCAAGATATTGTTGCAAATAGCTCCACGTGCAAGTGCTCTATTGCTCTCGTGGGGGATTTCATAGGAGGTGAAAAGGATCTAACAAATTATCCAGGGCTGGCCTGTGCCCTGAAGAAACTCTCTCAGAGCTACTGCATGAATAAAGGCTTGTAGCTGATCAGTGCTAAACATCAAATACAGAACAGGGACTTTCCCACAATACACTGAGCAGGGCCTCACACATGCATGGCAAGCAACTGCCTGGGCCAGGGTCAGACTGTTGGTGGGATTTTCCTCCAAGTCCCTCTCTCTCCCTACCGCTAGCTAGCTCAGCATTCCAGCCACTGCCTGGTCGGTCTAGTCTCCTCCTAAAAACAGCTGCCCGAGGTGTCAATCTCCACTCACTTGTGTGTGGTGACAAGAGGTGCAGAACCAGGTAGGCAGAAACTCCACAAGCAGAGAATGGCCACTGGCCTGTTTGTGACAGATCATGAGGTTACTGGTGATATTGTGGCTTCCCCTTTAAACGTAGAGCCCCAGCTGAGGCTATTCTCCAGAGACACCCCGGGAGTGAACCTGTGGAGGAAGCAGCAGGACCCCTCAAAGGAGCTCATGGTCCCATTTTCCCAGTCCCACCCTTAGTGGAACTAGAAGGGAAGGTAGTTCATAGCGCAGTCGGTTCTCTCCCCCACAATTTACAGGCCCTAAAATTATATGGCCGGCCCTGGTGAGATGAAAAACTCTCAAAGAAGCCGGTTCCTCACATGCATTAAAAAAAAAAAAAGGAGTTGATGGGCATTTCCCATATAGTTCCATGAAGAAATCCTGATGCCTTCAGATTAGCTGCAATGCCCTTTGGGGAATCATATCTGCCCAAAGCCCCTTAGTGGTTGTGTTCAACAAAGCCTGAGGATTCATGGAGATAAGAGAGATGTTCTACTACTCGGGGTTTCAGGTTGTCTTTCCTTGCAGCAGCGGAGAGGAGCCTGTGTCCAAGAGGCTGACGAGCTTCGCAAGGACTCAGATACGAGCTGCCTTCCGGCAAGGAAATTCCTAGAAACCAGCTCTATGGGACTGATCTCAGGCCAATTTCTTGTCATTGCTGAACTGGATAGATGAGAAGGATATGGATACATCACAGTGGCCTCTGGTGCAGTTTATTTACAATGGAACTCAGTGCTGGAGAACATCAGGATATTAACAACCAGGAAACACACTGGCGGGGAGAGAAGAAGAATTGTACATTAAATCTCAATGATCCTCCATAGAATTCAAATCCACACCACCCAAGATAACTCAGGAATGCTAATAAAGCTGAAACTCAAAGGATCTGTAATGTAGGTTAAGTCTTCAAGGGCAATGTCCCGGTTAGGTGCATGCAGGTAGAACAGCAATATAGATACACAGCTCTCACTATGACTAGTGTTTTATCCTGCTCTCTATGGCTTAAAGCAGCAGACCACAGTAGGTATAACAAACTGCCCATCCCTCAGATACAACTCTTTCGAAGCTGCTGACAAGTACAACCATGATAGCAGCAGCAGCAAACTAATGTCTTATAATCCTCACAGCAATAGCTTGCCAAAGCCTGCTACAGACTCAGACGCAGCATAACGTTGCCCTGGTGACGTCTCCCGCTTCCATTGCTTTAAAGCACACCCACACCCTGTACCCTTTCCTCAGTTTCCAATGCATATTGTTAACGGTTCTATATTCCTCCCGCCTTTCACCCTGAAGAGCGCAGGATGGGTTCACTCACTCATTGATACCACTTCCCCTAAAAATACGGTCACTTCAGGGGTGAAACGCGATTAATTTTTTTGGCCTAGTAACTCTAAACCAAAGTTTTTCTTCAATTAAATCTTCAGGAGGAATTTTGGGACAGTGGAATTATTGCCCACGACACATGGGTTAACCCGACTTTTCTTACAGATCTGTAATGACAGGCGGTCAGGACAACACTATTTCACACCTCATCTGACAGATGTCCCTCCAGCAGCTCAATGCCCCCTACCAACAGGTCAGTATCGCCTGTTATAAATATGATTAGGAGACCCTGGGAGTCAACATGCAGCAGCCTGCAGAGTTCATTCCATTTACCTTTGGTGTTTCTTCTACATTATCTAGGCTCACCAACCACACTGCCAAGAGAGGAGCTTTGGCTCCTGAAATTCATTATGATGGGAGACTACATTAGACTATTGTGGGTGACACAGCCGTGAGATCTGAGAAGCAAAGTATGCAGCTTTAAGCTTTAAATGTATGTTCTTGCTAATGTTTCTTGGCAGAAGAAACATGCTGGAAATTGTGTTTTTCCACGATGGAGATCCGATTACAAGAACAGCCATAGCGATGTTTAGAAATTGGAAGACAGTCTCCACCACCTTACATAGGTCATTCTTGGGTCCTAAAGTATTTACACTGACTGGGTCCATTTAACAAAATTCAATGCAATTGCTAGGTTTGCCCCATCAGGGATAAGGATTTCCCTCACAAAGGAAGAAATCAGCTAGGTCAGGCCCATATCTTCTTCTCCCTCAAAGTCTGAGTGTTTTATTATTACAATTAGGAAGTTGGAATATGAGAAGTTTAGGGACAGTGAAATCTTTACACACTGAACATGAAATACAATACTGCGTATGATCTAGGCTGCATACTTACATGCTGTTTTTAACGTTACATTAAAGCTCCAAGCTGATCCTTACTTCCTTTTCCACCCAACCACTTGTTATACTCCTCTCTCCCCACCCTGGATACACACAAGGAATGCAAGACTTCCGTGGGGATCAGGAAGAGATTCATGCAGCCCTAGCACCCAGAGATCCTTACCACTGAAATCCACCAATTGGTTCTGTAAACCGGTGACGGATCAAGAAAGTTGCAACAGCTTCAGCAACCTGAAGGGGGGGGTGGGGGTGGAAAGGAATCAGAGTTTAAAGGGACATAGTCAACTTGAGGTCTGGTCAGCTTCAAAATTTAAAATAGTTAAAATACTACATCTTCCTCCCATTATTTTAAACAGTTCCCCCCCGCCTGTGTGTGAAACTTCTCACAAAAGGGATAAATGTCTATATAATACCAAGGACACAATGAAACCGACCATACATCAAGTGCACACTTGGCAAAAAAAAAAATTTCCCTCCCCCATCTTCAGTTACAGTAATTCTTAGGCATGTATTATAGTAGTTTAAAAAAAAAAAAGAGAGAATTGTGATTTAAGTTGATGTCCCTTTAAGGATTAACTCAGAGCAACAAATTATTTATATCACGCTTTACAAATAACTTTTCTTCCAAACAACTCATTGTGATAGGTAAAAATATCCCCATTTTACAAGGGGGTAAATGGAGGCACTGAGCAGTTAAGTGACTCAAAGCCACACAGTTAATAGTAGAGCTGAGAAGAACTCCGAAGCTCATTTCCAGACGTGCTCAGTCCACAGTACCATTTTATTTCCTGGCACACTAGCATAAGTGAGTCACTGTTTGTCAGTACATAAACTGCTACAAATAATGTTTATATGAAGTTTTCTAAATTTTAACTACTCAGTTTTAATATGACATTATCCCTCCAGGAAAGCAGCCACCTGCACTAAAGGCTGGAGGGGGGAAGGGAAAAGCTGAGGTAACCTAAGAAGGATGGAAAATCCCATGCCACATCATAACTACTGTATCACTGAGTCAGTTATACACCACAACTGGCCCCTGACACAGTTAAAGCGGTAACGTAGGTGGCACCTGTCTCCTCACAAGCAGGCTGAAGTCTTGGCCAGTCCAGGCTCTCAAGCCAACTTCAGGGATATGACTTAGTCCCATCTGCTCTATCAGTAACCAGGTCCCCTTATAGGTGTGGTGCATGTAAGGCCCATGAGGTTTGCCCTCGGTTTCGTATTAGTGATGACCCATTTTGCATCTAACTCATAAAAGGGCTGCTACCAAAGCTCGCCCCGCTTTGCGGCTCACCTTGTCTGGAGCATCTTCGTGGACTGCATGGCCACACTGAGGGAGGACTTGCATCTGGAACTTTCCTGCAGACCAAACAGTCAGTGCAGCTGCTTTTAGAGTGAACGTATCCCTCCCTGGCAATACTCAGGCATGCGTTACATGCGACCGCAGAAGCCAACTCACTATAAAGACTAAAGGCAGGGACTGAACTTGTTAAGGTGCAAAAATATTCTGCGCTTTTATGGACATTTCTACTACAGATCTCAAACTCTTTACAAGTTACCCCCAATGTCATCTGTAGCTGATGAGGACTCAGGAAGCTGTTTGACACCAGATGTCAAACAGCAGCATACGTAGAGCACAAAACTTCTGCAGGAGGCAAGAACTTTCCTTCTTACTTGTGCAGGAGCTCTGAATTAACTAAAACCATGTTCATTCACTATCTTCCTAATCCTTGATTCCCAAGAGCTTCGTATTAAATGCCATCCCATCTTCCTGACATGAATGTAGCTGTCAGACCTACCACACCAGGACCTTTATCCAATCATCCATTTTCCCTTTCAATAGCCGATTGCCAAAGAAATCAGTGATGGGGACTGGGCGGAGAAAGGTGCTAATGTAACTGTCAAGCATTATTAGAGGTTGTTGTAGCCGTGTCAGTCCCAGGACGTTATACAAAGGATGAGGGAATATCTTTTCTTGGACCAACTTCTGTTGGAGAGACACAAGCTTTTGTGCTTACACAGAACTCTTCTTCAGGTCATAAGCTCAAAAGTTTGTCTCTCTCAACAACACAAGCTGGTCCAGTACAAGTTATTACCTCCCCTGCCACGTCTCTCAAGCATTATTAGAAGTCTGCCAGGTCAAAAGAGAGAGAGAGTGTGTGTGTGTTTCAGGTGGCACCAGATGGTGCAACTAGGCACAATGGGATGGAATTAAAAGAAAACAGACTGAAAAAATCAGGAAAAGATTCCTAATGGCAAGACTGAAGGTCACTGAATGATCCCCGTGAGACATGACAAAGCCCCGTCACTTGAATATTTAATACCAGACTGAACAAAAGCACTACCAAAGCCCTGCATTAGCACCAGGGTGATTGGCAAGATCTAGTAACTCCTCTAGCTTCCATTAGAGAATCATAGACAAGGGATCACACTGTTACTCTGGGGATTAACTACATTCTTTAATACTTGTTTGTCTCAATATAGATTGCCCCGGCCAGGACCATTTCAGCCTTCTTCTCCAGTTCTCTTTCACGCTCTGCAACATAAACTATCTCCTGAAAGAGCATTATAGCTAGCAGTATTAAATATTTACCTTGCATCTGTCCAATTGTTAGATCTTTATCCAGCCTGTCAACACCTGGAATAAAGCAAACAGATGTGTTGGGGAGAAGCCAGGGAGAGAGAGTGTCTAGTCAGGTCCTGCCAAGACTTTGCAAAAGATGTTTGATGTGAAAAATGGAATAGAAACAGCATCTCAGCACCTCCTAGGCTGTTTCCCTGCTGCAAATCAGGAGCACACAGTGACAGGAGAGGATCACTGCCAAAAACTTGAAGGAACATTCATCCATCCTCCCAGACATCTTTAAATGGCACTCAACCATGGGAGACTCAGTGTTCCCTATCACAGGGGACTGGAGGGCGATAGGAATTGGTCTTGGAATACTGATCCTTTCACCTTCAGGTCACGAGTTCAAATCCAGCCCAGGTCTGCAGGAACTAAGTGATTACTCTTGTGGGTTGGCTTGGGTCTCAATCCTGTTCCTATCAGAACATTAGCTCAATCCTACAATTGCAACACCCTGTCAGACAGCCGAGACATAGTATCACAATACACATATCTAGTATCACAATTCCCATGTGCATGTTGCAGAGGAGGAAATGGAGGCAGAGAGACTAAATGACTTGCCCAGTCTCTCCAAGTACATAGAAGGGCCAGGATAGAAGCCAGACCTATTATGCCTAGACCAGTATCTTAGCCACAGGTTTGCCCTTCTCTCCTCTAAAATACAGGCTGAATGTAATCAAAGTGAATGACAGTTCTAAGTAGGAAGAAAAAGGAAACACCTACCCGCTAAAAGCAGCAGCTTCGGAGTAGAACAACTGAGGAAGAGGTTAGATAAGCCCCTGAACCACCCATCCCAGTACTTTTCTGTTTTCGACAGTTCGATTCGCCATGTATACAGATGTTCTTTTTTTGTCTACAATGGGACAAAGAGCTCAGCGTTAGTAATCAACTGAAACGAGTGCGGAATAAACTCAGCAAAGCGCGACTTGGAAGACAAAGCAAAAGCACCAAGTCAAATGCTGACGTGGCTCTAATGTCAGTCTGTCCCCCATATGTGGCCCTAACTAGGCAACCTTGCTCGCAAAGACTGGATTATCCTCTTAATCCTAAACGTGCTCGCTCCATGTCACAGTAAATTAATGGGTCTGCACATGCTGTACCTGATGTGTTGAGCAAGACACACCTTCAATTTCCAGGACTGTCAATCTGCCATCTTTCACTGGAACTAAAAATTCACACACAGAAACACCTGGACCTGTCCTTCAGCGAAGCCTGGGCAAGATACAGTTTTGCAGCACCATGCACCAATAGCTTTACTTGTGAGACTAAGTCTGTCAGGTCACATGGTCTATACCACCCAGCAGAAACTGATGAGCCTTTATAATATGATGAAATAGAGTCAGGACCCAGCACACAGTGACTTACTGGACAGGACAGTAGTTCTCTTCTAGACCATGTACAATGGCCAAGTTCATGAACATCCAGAAACACTTTCAAGTGGTAACTCACGATGTAGCCAGCAGTCTGAGACCAAGGCCTAAACTCAGACCTGGAGTAAGCAATGAGGTCACAGGAGTTACTCCTGTTTACACTAAGGCCCTGAATGAGAGTTGCACAATTGCTCACTACTCCTTCTTTGGAGAACTTTTACATGCTGTCCCCTAGGCACCTAGCTCCATGGAAGCATCTCTTTTGCTGGCTGCATGGTTGCCGCCTTCTTGCTCCCTGTAGATCTCCAAATACCCTAGAGATGGAGAGACTAGAAGACATTAGTTCCAGCAGAAGAGAGTGAAACTCCCCACCTCTGTATCATCTTCCTTCTTCCTTTTGTTAACAGATCCTCTTCCTTCATAGTCTTCTTCCTCTTCCTCCTCCTCCTCCTCCTCAATAATCCCTTCCACTATAGCTTTAGGGACCTCAGGACTAGCAGCATCTTCACACCTGGTAAAAGAGGACTGGAAATTGATTCCCTTTCCATTGTGAAAAGCAACATCTTAACGATTCTAGGAGAGACTGCCTGCACCTAAAGGATAGAATTGGCTCTCTCAGAGAGACTGGCTGATCTGAGGCTCTACCACATCAAGGAGAAAGAAAAGAAAAGAAGAGTCCAGGTCAAACAAGCAAAATTAGTTTTTTATGACAATACTGGAATATAAACAATAGAAATATGTGATGCTGCTGGCAAGCATCATGGTGTTGTATAGGATTATAATGCAATAGACAGATTACTTTCATCATCACTCAACTCCACCACCTTTGGAGTGCAACGGAGAGCTATTTAACTATGAACAGCAGCAGGAGGACAGCAAGTGAAAAATACTATATTCAGTTGAATTGGCAGGAGGAATTTAGGGGCCAAATTTCTGAAGGGGCATCCAGCTAGTCTATTGGTGTGAGCACATCTTCGCATGGGCCATTGCACATCGTTTTGTGCTCCACCACTTGCATGTGCAAATGGCTTTTGCACAGGAAATTTTTTTTTATCCTTGATGGGTAATTACATTCTACCCCAGTGAAATTTTGACTGTGACATTCCTAACCATAGGACCGTGGATGGTTGTAAATGATTTAGTACTACGTTCCGCACCCACTGTGTTCAGCCTTGGCAGGTAAGTAAAAGGAGGAGTGGATATCTGCTAGAAGATTGATTTGATTTGATTTTTTTTTTTAAAGTACACTTATGCTCTGTTACCAATTTGGGATCTTAAAACATTTAAGAAGATTTTAGAAAACAAAACCTACTGTTTGACTTGGCCAACCATAGAAACTCTGGCCGATTCGAGATTTCTTATCTGTCCACTTTTTACACTAGGAAAAAAAAGGGAAAAGGGGGAATCAAAATGGTCAAACATCAAGGGTCAATTGGGTACATTAATCTAGTATCATTCAATATTTAACAGGTCAAGTAATAATAGGAGCACTCCCAAGTTCACCCTTCAAGCACTCATCTTGAAAACAGAGATGTGGCCTACAAACACTAGAGTTCCCAGCATGCTAGGATTATCGGGATGTTTATATGGCTCTCACATCACTGTGATAGGAGCATCTCATAAACATTAATGACCATCTTCACAATGCCCTTACAGGGCAGTGAAGTCTAATGCCCCCTCTGCAGATGGGGGAATTGCGTTGGTAGTCAGGAATAGAACTCGGGTCTCTGGCGCTCCAATCCAATGCCTTAACCGCAAGACCACCCTTCCTCCAAGATCAATTGCAGAATTAACAATACAATGAAGAGTTTTGAAGAGTACACAAACTTGCCCATTACCTCCACTCAATTGCATTCTCAATTGACTTGAATGTTTTGGGACGACTCCGTAAGAAATTCTGCATGCTGTTCAGTGCGTCCATGGCTGTGCCTAAAAACAAATGTTTTGACTTAAATGAACCCAACATCTGACAACATCCTTCCCAACGGTTCTCAAAGGTCTTGATATAGGACTGTGTGAGGGAGAGAACCGAGGCAAATTTCAGGATTTAAGATAAGTTGATTAACAGAGTTATAGTCGTGAACTATACTGCTGCTCCAAACCAGCTTTCACACAGTTTTTCCAAAAACTGGTTTCCCGGTCAGCAAATTTGTAAGTTCTTTGCTTCCCTCATCCACATTTTTAACAGCTCTTACAGGTTTTCTATCATTTCAATAAATCTATCCGCAAAACCTCCATTAGCTGTAATGGTATCAGGGCTTGTATAGTTTTGTACGCTGCTGCCATTAGAGGGTTAACATGTCATATTTGAACAGGTCTGATATTTTAGGCAGTAGAGAGCAGCGGTGATATTATATGGTTCAGTAAGACACTCCCCACCGATCGCGGTCCTGGTTATAAGAATGGGTGTCGCACTGCAATCATGATAAACAAAATCAAATGGAAAAGTCCAGCTTGGAAAACCAAAACAAAAGCCCAGTGTGATGCTAACTATACTATACAATAGCTGGCATATCCATTAGAGAGAAGAGAAACCTTCATACGGTTAACACAACTGAGAAAGACCTCCCAGGCCCAACAAAGTTAATAGGGGAGGAGAGAGGAAGACAGAACATAAAATGATACTGTCCAAGGACATAAAAAAAACTTACCTTCCACGACATCAATCATGCAAAGACCCAATAAACTGGGTACCAAATTGGATGCTGCTGTGTGCACTGCAATGGCCCCACCCATACTGTGCCCAATCAGCATGATCGGAGGTGGGAGGTCCCCGTACATAGCTTCAACCACGTTTCCAACATCTCTGGCAAATGAAGAGAGACAGAAGGTTGGCATTCTTCCCCAACGTGTTTCTGAAGCAGATTTGTAAAAGCGCATCGGCAGGGGAATGGAAAAATTCAATATGAAAAACTTACTCTGAACCCTCTGCTTTTATTTCCTACTCTTCCCTAATATGGAGTTTCTTTGCACACTTGCCTTTTAAGTTAGATCATCTGCCCCAATGGTAATAGATATGGAAGTCCATTCTCTTATCAGTGGCCAGGGATTCAGGAAAGCCCTCAAAGCAGATGCTTAACATTAAACAAGTGCTTTCCTGAATCAGGGATATAAGAATGTCATTCCCATTTCTGTTAACAGGAGATGCCGTCTAACGTGGGAGACTAGACCACCCTGCTCCAGGTCTGTGGAGCACAAAAGGAACTACAGATGAGGTGAGAGAACTAATCAATTCTCCTGCAGGAGAGAATAAACTGGGGTCAGGAGAAGTGTACTGCGTTCTTATCCCTAATCAAGGAGAACCTAAACCAACCCCAGCCACCAGGATTGCAAGAGGCTGGGCATGTAGAACAGAAGCAAAACGTTCTCTCTCTCTGGAAGAGAAGCTCTTTGGGGCAGGGACATTATGGACTGGTATGAAGACAAAGCACCAAGCATACTGTTACATTCAGGTTCTTAGAACACATTTGGCACTGCAGTACCTGAGTACCTTTTGGAAAGAGGATAGCAAGTAGTTTAAGGGACACTAAACTAAAAAAAAAAAAAAAAAAAAAAAAAAAAATGCATACAGGCTTTCTTGGCTGTAACAATTCACCATACGTGTTGGAAATGGGTGACAGGGGATGATGATTACCTGTTCTGTTCATCCCCTTTGGGGCACCTGGGGGAAGACAGGATACTGGGCTAGAAAGACCTTTGGTCTGACCTGGTATGGCCGTTCTTACGTGTTGGAAACAGAGAGCATTATTCCTAGTGCATGACAGTCACACAGCAAGTCTGAGTAGCTTGTTTTCTCTATCCAAGCCAAGAGACTAGAAAAACAGGCACATATAGCATCGGTGGTGAAGAATAATTTAAGGTATTAACGGGTAAAAAAAATTACTTAAATATCTGATTTTTTTTTTAAACCGTTTCCTTTGAAAATGCAGGAGGATTTACGAATCTGACAAGTTAGTGACAGTTTAATGCTCCAGTTTAAAGACAAATTGGAAATAGCTTTCAAATCTATCATTAAGAGGGCAGGAAGGTTTAAAATGAAAGGCTGCCTATTTGTGTGGTCCCATATTAGCGCTGCTCCAGATCTGAAAAACGATCATTGCATATGGCAGCTCCTCAGGACACCCACACGCACATCAGGAGCTGACGGGTTGTGAGAAGCAGCAATAAGGTGCACAATAAGTCAAAATCTATTTCACAGATGGCCTCCCTGGAACAAACCAAGCGGGTCTGTTAGTATGAAGGACTTTGTAACCTTCAGGAGAATCTCTCTGCACTAAACGTGGGCATTATATAGTATTTTTAGTGGATGGTAATTGCTTCTCTCACAGCTTGTCACAAAAGAAGGGTTTGCGCTCAGAAGCAGGTCACTGCAATTTGATTAAGCAGCTCTCACCATGCCTGAAAGTCTCATTCTGTGCAGGACACGTTTTCTCGACATAGTGGTTCCAAACCGGGCAGGAGTCACACTCAACCTTCACTCAAGGGTGAAGGACAGGTATGGAAAAGGAATCTTTCAAGGGAAAGAAAACTGAGCCACATCAGGATGGATAAGAAGCGTTGTTTGAAATACAGGCTGAAATAATAATGGAAAGGGGTTTTCCCTGCATTTAAGCCAGGCACAGTGCACCCAGATACACTACAGTGAGTAGAGTAATACGAGAACCAGACCCTGAGCTGGTGTAAATCAGTGTGGCTTCAGTGGAGATGCACCAATGTGTGTATTGTGACCTCTTCCAGGAACAAAGGAGACTATAAATAACTAATAAGTTCTTCTCCATGCATCTGAAGAAGTGGGGATTTTTTAATTTTTTAACTTTTAAATCACAAAGGAGAATTTCCTCACCAGCTTTACCTTTCAGGGAGATCTACAGAACAAGTCAGGTCTGAAATATCTAGCATCAAACTGTTGGAGTTATGATTTCAACTTGCGGCTAACCTGATGTTGCTCAAACTTTCCAAAAAGCAAGGAAAGTTATGAGCAACTAAGAGAAGGATGAATTAGAATGAAAAGTGGAACTCAGCTTAAGTTCTAGTGCCCCCTTACATGACTGGCATGTAAGATGTCTTCATAGAAGGAAAACTGAAGATGGGTAAAAAGTTGTTAAGAATGAAAGAACAAAGAATTAAGATATAAGGATCTGGGAAAGTCTGAAATGGCTAAAGAGAATGTAAACCTCCATACTTTGACATAGTTTCTGCAGACAGATCTTCAGGATTCCTAACTTTTGTTTCACCTGTGAAGCAAAAAACGAAATAAATCAAATCAAATTTAATTAAAAAGACATTATTAAAGCAGATTAAAAATCTTCAGAATCCTCAGGAGTTAAATAAGAGCAACTATGAGCCCAGATATAATAGTTTTTCTGTATATATTTACTCGGTAATCATAACTGTGTTTGCATCATGTCTTCATAGTCATCTTGGATAATTAAAACGATAAAGATTAATAAAAATGCTTGGTACTTTATTGCATTGTAGTTCAGAGGTGGGAAACTATGCCCAAGTAAAGGTCATATATTGGCAATTTAAGACTGAGGATCATCCCTAGGTTCCTACAAAGTGGGCTGCCTACACAGTCATCTTTTACATGGTAGTTGGGCTCACCAAGACTACTGATCCCAGTCTGTATGGGGAATCAAGTTGGAGCAGAATATTCAGGCATGTGGAATCTTCACTTCTATATAACAGCAGCCACTAGCTTAACAGTGGAATTACATGGGCCACCTTCTTTTCATCCCCACCTTGGCTATCAAGTAGCAATGCTTTGATTATTTCATAGGTAGTCTATAAACTCAGTTTTTTGATGGGGTAATTCAGTTAAAATCTAATTTAAATGCAAATGTAAACAATAGTAAATAGAAATATACTGGAACATGAATTCGATTTTAAGTCTAATTACTTACCATGACTTCTGAGATCTAAAGCCACAATCCTACACTGAATCCTGTTAATGATCGCAGACTGCAAGAGGGGACAAAGATGTATAGTATGAAAACTGCCACACCTCATTTAAGAAAGGGGCTCACAATATTAAATGAATCATTGCAACAGAAGCAAAAGCCAAGATAGTGTGTCAAAAAGAAACATCTGTCAGTGACAGTGCCGAGGCAAGAGTGGACATGGGGCATAGAGTAGCCAGGAAGTCAAAGTTGAAGCAAGAATATTTAGTATAAGTGATCTTTAATTAGTAAATAAAAAAGCACCATCCCTTTCACCATCAGTCAATTGATTACAGGATATCTCCCCCCCACCCCCCACATTCCGTATCTCAGACAAATGAGAAATCAAATTTCTTAGGAGAAAAGTTTCAGTCTCTACAACACCTCTAAAAACTGAAGTGCAGCAATACCATTATATACATTGAAGTGATACTTCCCCTTCCAAGCCCTCACATGTTCCAAAATTAGCACTGCCTCCACAGTAGGCAAGAAGATATAGCAGCTGCTTTACAGCACAGACTCAATTCGCTCTCAAAGAATGGAATTTTACAGTAACACTGAACTATACCAAATTCAGTGTTCTTGTCCTCTGGGTTACTAGCAAACGATGATGCTTTTTAAAGTAACACCAAGCTGCAATAAGATCACGCCTCATTATTTGTTCCTGCCATCTAAATTTACATAAGTTATTTCACGAACCATGGTGATTAAGTAACATTCTGTGCTGAATAAAAGGCTTCAAAAATAGGATTTTGGGTTGGGAACTCAATCGCTGAAATCATGTCTCAGTGGTAGTGGTGAAATCTGTTGAAAGGCTCTTAACAGAAGGAAGAGCAAGAGAGCACCATCTACTTGATAGGCGCAGACTGACAGTTACACTAACCTGATGTTTCAGAACTTACTATATTCAAGCCCAGGGAAAATACAATGCTGGACCAAGGGACTAAAGACAGTATCACATACCTGCTAGGGCTACAAATGGATGCTTTAGACCATTCAGATATGAGAATTCCTCTCTGTCATTGATGTAGATCATTCATTTCTGGCCCAGCATGTCATGAGATATTGGCCATTAAAACTACACCCTTCTGATTACTACATTTTGTTTCCTTTTCCCAATTCTAAAATAGTTGTGGCAGCCACAATCTAGAGAACGACTACAGCCAGAAACAGACTTTAGATCATTTAGAATCAATTTGGAACCCCAGTTTGCCAATGGTAAAAAACTAAGCATTAATTTAACCAGCAGTTTGTGAGGTCATCTGCTAAAAATCACAATGTAAGATAATAATCTGAATGATGTGATAGTAAGGGAAGTTCTCTCATGACCTTGACTTACCAGAACAGAACTGCTTTGGTGAGACAAGAACAAATACATCCATGACCATTACATTTACCAATAAGTTGTTAGACCAATGAGAAGAGAGAGAGAGAGAGAGAGAGAGATAGGTAGATTCTGCTTGTAGTAATTTTATTTACAGTCTTTACCCACACAATTATTTAAAAACAATATATATATTTTTCATCCTAAACACTTAACATATGAATGACTAGAGCAAACTTTCATTAAAAAATATACACAGGGAACAAGCTGATACTGACAGCAGAATGGAATGGACTAATTGTCTTCGGAGTTCTTTCTCCAGCTACATAGTTTTTGTGGGTCTAGGGCAAAGACAAATGACATGCATCCTATACAATGTAACGGCCAAGTCCAGTAACTGCATAGATAATTGACATACTAGAAGTTACAATGGTGTAACTCTGGAGTTTCTTCTACTGAATTTAGTGGAGTAACTCCAGATTTGCTGTGCATTATGGCGTAACAGATAGCGGTATTTAAACCTGCTATCAGAAGTAGAATTTTAGAAAGGATGGAAGTTGCTTGCAAATAAAAATGTCTCTCTTGCTCAAAACTTAAGAAAAATGTGAATTTGGGTTTCGTCAAAACCCTACCTCATCCAGTCTAAAAACCAGTGATTAACTTTAGAATTTGTAAGCAGCTCACATATCATGGCGATAAGTATTAAATTAGCAGACAGTGAGTGAGTCACACATCCCAGTGACTAGTGCTCTATAAGCAAGTGATAACACTTAATTCAATTATCAGAGGTGTAGCCGGGTTAGTCTGTATCCACAAAAACAGCGAGGAGTCTGGTGGCACCTTAAAGACTACAGATTTATCTGGGCATTAACTTTCACGGATTAAAAAAACCTCACTTCTTCAGATGCATGGAGTGAAAATCCATGCATCTGAAGAAGTGAGGTTTTTTACCCATGAAAGCTTATGCCCAAATAAATCTGTTGGTCTTTAAGGTGCCACCAGACTCCTTGTTGTTTTTATAGAATTCAATGAGGAAGTGCTGATTTGAAAAACACTTGTCAACTAAAGTTTAACCTCCAATGTATGGCAAGATGTGGGTCAACTCAGGCTATACATGCAAAAGAACTAACCTAGCCTGTCAAATCCTTGTGAGGCACCTGACCTAATCCCCCACATATCTTGGAATTTTTACAGCACCCCACCTCTTAACTGAGGACTATAACATGATTCATGGCTAGGTGTACGACCTCCAATTTATTCAGTGGCGATCAGCTTGGGACTCTGAAATGGTTGCAAACTGTTCTGGTTGCAAACTGTTCATTTGTTCATTCCCATTCGTTGTGTGGACCTTTATTCATAGTGTCTAGAGTGTCACTTTGTACTGGCCTAACTGCACAAGGACTAACACCACGGTGAAAACTGCATGTGACTGTTGTGTAGCTGATCTGTTTAAGGTTTTTATAAAGTTCACAGATACTTCACTAAAAGTTGCCCTATAAAAACCTTAGACAGACTGGATCAGGGGTCGGCAACCTCTGGTACGCAGCTCGCCAGGGTAAGCACCCTGGCGGGCTGGGCCAGTTTGTTTACCTGACGCGTCAGCAGGTTCGGCCTATCGCAGCTCCCACTGGCTGCAGTTCGCCATCCCAGGCCAATGGGGGCTGCGGGAAGCGGCGCGGGATGTGCTGGCCGCGGCTTCCCGCCGCCCCCATTGGCCTGGAGCAGAGAACCGCGGCCAGCGGGAGCCGCGGTCGGCCGAACCTGCCGCATCAGCAGGTAAACAAACTGGCCCGGCTCGCCAGGGTGCTTACCCTGGCAAGCAGCATGACAGAGGTTGCCGACCCCTGAACTAGATCAAGAGATGGAGACACACCCACCGTCCGGGCACAAGATCTACAATTAGAGTTGCTGGGTCAAAGGTCAGGGTCCCAAGTACAGCTATGCATCCTGCTATTAGCTGGGTTTATAACCTGTAGGCTTTATATATATAAAAATTTGTTGGAGTGGAAAAAGTTAAGTCATGAAACTTGCTCCCATTGACACAACACCAGGTTGGGTTTCAGTGTTTCTCAAGCATTGAGGCTTTCTGAATTAACATTCAAACTTGGTCATACTGTGGTGTCATCAATGCAACACCAGCATTGTCAAGGTGAAAATAAGATAGCTTCAAACTTATTCCTCTCCATTAAAGATTGTCAATAACATCTTCCTGTTATTTGTGGAAAATCAATCTGGGGGAAAAAGTTGGTTTAACTGTGACGAGCAACATCCTGGCCTCTCAGATTAAAACAGGTCAGAGGAACGGAGATTGCGGTTGCTTCGATGAAGCTCCACATCCTAATTGTTGGCAGACGCTCGGCCTTTGATGCGTTTTGTTCATAAAATATATTTACTGCTTGCGATAAAGAGTCTGAATACACGAGTTCAACAGACAGGCAGATTACAAGGACCTTTCTGAATTCTCTTTCCCATGCTTAGCAGGGCTTCATATTTTCATGTCATTCATGGACGGAAGACGCAACACTTGTATACATGTACTTCTACTTCCAATCAACTTACTTACATTGAACACAGCCCAGGAAAGAGCAGAATGGCCTCCGCCATGCAACAAAAGTAAGACAGGGCCCTCCGATCCACTTTTATAAATTCGAAAAGTGTATGAACAGTTAAGGACAATGTTTCTTAATAAAATTATCTGAAACAAGCTACTGAGTTCGACCCTTCACAGCACATACAAGGTCACCAGCACTTTATTATTACTCCCGTACACAAGAAAGCCCCAATTCTGCCTTCTGTTCAGCTTCAATAGGTTTGTACAGAATGATGGCCACTGATGAGGAGGAGGAAGGTGATGGTGATGAGGAAGATAATGGCTAATATTTCAGGTTGTTCGACAAGGGACAGGGTGCGTATATGGATATTCAGATGTACATTCTCCATCTACCTTGCTGGGTTAGAATGTTTGCTAAATGTATTAAACTATTGTAAATACAGAAGGGTTCCTACGGGGGCGTGTTGCAACTGTGTACATCGGGGTTTGCAACTGAACAGTAATTTTAATACTGGGCCTGATCTTGGGACAAGAATCTGTTGCATCTCAGACTGATAACTGGGAATTCTTAAGTAATCAAATGAATACATAATCTACAGATCAAACTACAACCAAGGGAAAAGTGTAGCCCATACTATCCACCTAGCTATACTGCCTACCTCCCCATCATCCCATACTCTATTATGTTCCTTACCTCCTCATCACACACCCTCTTCGCCATGAAAATAGTATCTGTACGTAATGTATATCAAAGAAAGCAAATCAACAGGAAAAAATTAAGTTAAAAGCTTGGAATGCTCAGGACACCATTGGGGACCACAAACTGGTGTTTTGTCTAACACGCTCTCCCATTACTTGACTGAGGAAACAGACAAACCTATACGTATCACTCTGGGCAATAAAATTACCCTTGGGAATCCATGAGGTAGTATGGTGCCTTTGTTAAGGTAAGCTGTAGGGAGACATCAGCTATCAGCATATCCTGGAAAGCCAGCTAAAAAAGTAGCAAATCGGTAGAATAATGGTTTTCAACCTGTGGTCCGTGGACCCCGGTCTAAGATTTCCAAAGGGGTCCACACCTCCATTCGAAATTGTGTAGGGGTCCGCAAATGGAAAAAAGGTTAAAACCCACTGATCTCAAGGTACTGTGCACCAGGGATAGGACACGTGACTGGGAGTCAGGAGATCTGGGCTCCAATACACAGATTGATTGGAGAAGTCACGTAACTAGAGCTGGTTAAAATAGAAAATTTCTGTTCCAAGGGGAATCCTGACATTTTGAAAAAGTTTCTCTTTTGATTGGAACAAAAAGTAGAACTAAAAAATGAAATGGAGCAGCCAGCAGCACCTGACTCCCAGGGACCTGCCAGAGAGCAGGGAGCTAGAACCCGACAGCCCTGGCTCCAGCCAGGCTCCTGGCTGCATGGCAGGGAGCCTGTCAAGGTGAGAGCTTCAGTTTGAGAGGGGCTCCCAGACTCCCTGCTGCCGAGGAGCTGGGCAGGTTACCATGGGAATGTTTCAGTTTCAACAAATTGGCATATTCTGTCAGAAAATTTCCAGCCAGCTCTACATTCCACCTCTGCTCTTTTCCCTTCCACCCTTTGAAGGTCTCATCTATTCAGAGCACCTCCTGCAGGACAGAGACTGTTTACACTATGTTTTTGTACCATGCCTAGCGTAACAGGGCTCCAATTTTGGTTAGGGCCTGTAGGTGCTACTGTCATACAAATAAGTCAGTAGGAACTCTGAAACCTGGGAGAGCTGCCTAATCTATGCAGAACACGATTCAAGAGAAAACAGAGTGGACAGTAGTGACAAGCTAAGTGAAGAATGTTACTCAGGTTGCTTCCATGGTGATTGTAATCCTCTAATGCACCACACACACTTCTGGACCTACAGAAACAACAATGACTCTTGACTCTGGATTGAAATTTGGCTTCCTATCAGCCTGGAAAGGGTTTACTTTTCCTTTCTCACTTCGCAGTTGAGACCCGTTTACGTTCTACTAATTTGTACAAAGTCTAATCTATAGAAATGCTACTTTGTATGTCCCCAGCACGTCTTATTCAAGGATCTCAAAGCACTTTACGAACAACAAGGAAGGTTCACAACAGCCCTGACAGGTAGGTTTTGTCCCCATTTTATAAATGAGGAACCTGAAATAGAGAGAAATAGCTTGGCTAAGGTCATTCAGAGCATCTATAGCAGACCCAGGTAAAGAACTCCTTATTCCTGGTGCTGTGCATTAGCCTTCTGTTTGCTCCCCTTGCTCCTGAAACTGAATGGTTCAAGGGATTTCCTTGGAAGTTGGACAGATTCATCACTTGGCTCCCAATGGAGAATCCAGAGTCAACCAGTGCAGTGCACAGAGTGGGCAGAGTAAGGGAAGGCATGCAGGAAATTTATTGTTTCAGAGCCTCTCTCAGGCAGTCTCTGCTGGCAAGAGTTTTCTGAATCCTGGGCAGAATTTAAAGCTGTCCTCATTCCAGGAGAAGGCTGAGGTAGCACCACAGAAGCTCTCAACCTAGCTATGGCTCTCCTCTCTTTGGAAAGGGAGTTCCTCCCCCATTCCCAATTAGCAGGCAGCCAGTGGTACATTGCTAAAGGGCATCACTCATCCACAGGCTGAATGAACATGGTGAAGCGTAAGAGAAGTTCAGCTTCTTTTACGGAAGAGAGATGTTTTCCCCTGGTGAATTTGGTGCTAGTGAAACAGTGTCTCCAGATGCCTGGCTCTCTCTCATCCCAGTACAGGTACACAGCATAAATGTCTCCCACACAGCTAATATATGGAGATATACCTATCTCATAGCACTGGAAGGGACCCTGAAAGGTCATTGAGTCCAGCCCCCTGCCTTCACTAGCAGCACCAAGTACTGATTTTGCCCCAGATCCCCAAGTGGCCCCTTCAAGGATTGAACTCACAACCCTGGGTTTAGCAGGCCAATGCTCAAACCACTGAGCTATCCCTCCCCCTAAGGGGAGGTGCACCTCAATCCTGACCTGCAACTCATTGTGTTATCCTTGTCATGGCCTGGACTGAACAGAACGATGATTGTATTAAAAACTGAGGTTCTTGTGCGATGTTGACAAACCTGCACTAGAAGCGTGGCCATCCCAGGAATATGAACTAACCTGACAGAGGTGTGTGTGGGGTGTGTGTGTTAGAATTTGATCTCACATCTTCAGAGGAGAAAGGCTAGAGCATTAACACACTATTACCTAGGTCCCATGGACACAGTTTTGAATGACCAAACATTAACTGAGATGAGAAAGCAATACCAAGAAGTCAACTTTTCTAGATATTTTCCCACTGCAACCTAATCGTTGGCACATAGGTGTTGCCTGGGGCAGTAGCACTGATTAGCACAAAGGAAAAGATGGGTAATAGAGGGAACAATTAAAAAATGTAACAGAATCCCTGATAAACGTCAAGACATACAATCCCACCGGTCACTTGAGATCAGGAAGAATTCAGTCTGGGAATAAAATAAAAGGATATATCCTTGCCGTTTTCGTTTTCAACCACAACATCTTCCATAGATTCAAAGTACTGGCTCCACGGGACTGGGGAAAAGTCTCGTTTCCTTCCAGGACTGCAAAACAAAATTTTTGCAAGAGTATAAGTATTTTATAATGCTTCACTCAGAAATTGCCATAAGCTGATGAAACAGCATGTTTTAACAATGGACATGTCATAGCAACACTCGACAGAGTGTTAGGATAGAAAGTGACGGATACTTTGCCTGTAGTTCCCTCATATAGTATTAACAGTTTTATAGTCATTAGCCAATCCCATTTACCTCCCATTAGGTTTTTTTGTGGCAAATCAGAGAGAAACAACGGACAGAAGTAGGGGAAGCTGTGAAGGTAAGAATGTTTTTCCGCTAAGTGATACTGAACAAGAATTATGATAATGAAAAGGTTACTACAGACAGGTCATATTCTATCCTTGATCTTTGTGCAAAGTTCCACTAACATCAGGAGTTCCATTGTTGATCAAGAGTAGTACACAGTCCTAATTTTATGCTTCAGCCCAAGGACCATAATTAAAAATGGAATTAGTCCATCTACAAAAACCATCTTGATGGTTTTGGCTTGAACAATAAAGAGTCAGCTACTTAACAAGGCTGGTTTTTAATCTAGCATGGCATCTAAATAAAGATATTCTGCATCTGATAAATCAGCGATTGTGATGAGATCAGAACTGTGCCAACAAGTCTCCTCTTGTTATACAGTATAGTTAGTACCAATGAAGATCATCTAGAAAGAGAACGTAAATTTCACTGTGGCTGACAAGACAGTGCAGAAACTATGGAAAGAAAAGTTAAATACAGTGAGGCATATGGGGATTTACCTATATAATGCCTATTAACATTAATGGGAATAGAACAGCTAAATCCCAGGCTGGAAGTTTACATAAGAGAGTTTTAATAAAACAGTTCCCTGGAATCTATTATATTAAATAAAACACATGTATGTACACAGGTCTAATACCTAAATACTGTATGTACTGCAGCATTACTAAAGTTATACTGAAGTCGAATATGATTAACTCCACAAGAGCCAGCAAATTCAGAGTTTCCACTTCTATATTGTCCCCACTGAGCCTTTGGACTGAGAATTTGATCAGCGTGTAAGTAACTACTCTCCAAACTGCTTCTTTGCCTATTATTGGAGTGTTATCGCAGGAGCAGCATGGATGAAACTAAGAATAGTGAGATAAAAATCAAGCGGTTAACATCTTGCCTAGACTGTTTAGGAAAAGACATTACAGGGGCACTCTGTACGAATAGAAAATACCAAAACTTTATTTTTCAAATAAAATGTTTCCCCCGGTTGACAAATAGAACATTCCATAATTCAACATGCCATTAGGAAGGATATTATTCTAATAAAGTGTTCCTCAACCTTTTCAGATTGGTGATACCTTATTCGAAGTAAAAATATCTTTGACTCCCATATATTTTTTATTTTTATTGTAAGAGTACCAATGCTAAGCGGATATAATTAGTGTGTGTTTCGAGAGGTTGACAGAATACTTGACATTGAAGGGCAAGGGAATGTGGGAGCAAGGTTTTGTTTTAGATTTTAATAGGGTTTTAAATGCCTTGCAAGCACCTGGATTACCTTTTATGAATCCCCTGGAGGTCAAGACCCACTGCTTGAGAAACACAGTTCTAGCTTCACCAAAAAATTGAATGGCCAATTGAGTGATCCAGTTGGCTGAATATTCCTAGGTATTTAATAGCACACATGGGAGAAATACAGCCCAGAAATCAGATGGTTTCACAACTAGATATCTGCCAAATCATTGCCAAAGTACTCCATGAAAGAGCATTGTACTGTGTAACCGGCACTATGTATATCTGAGAGACTCATAAGGGAGCTGTCATCAGTGGAGGGAATGAGGAAGGGTCTCTTTTCATGCTAACATTATCGGCTTAGAAAGCCATTCTCAAACAGTGGACTAAGAACAAAAGTCCAGACATCAATGGCTGGATTGAACAGATTCAGCTGATGAAACAGATGACTTCCTGCACACCTCAGGTCCATAGAGACCTTACGTATTATTAAAGTGCCAATCAACTTCATATGTAAGTAACTGACTCCTATGGTGGTTTTCTCTATGGTGAGGGAGATAAGGCATATCAGTAAGGCAGTGTGCACTGCTGATGCCTCTGTGGAATTGTCTCTGTCGCTAGAAAAGACTTAATTTCCTGGGCTATTCAGCACTATACTCACACCAAAACACTAAATATGAAATACTGCCATCGCTCATTCTTCACATAGCACTCAAGAGCCAAAGGTGTTAGGAGGCACTACAGCTCCCTTCTAACGTATGCATTTTCTTTCCTGTCCACCATGCAGTCCCTTTGGCCCCACTCAATCATGGCTCTCAGTTGGTGCAACTTTATGTGGCCAGCTGGTGACTTCCTACCCAGCACTGAACAGCCCCAGAGACTGGAGCCTGAACACAGGCAATAAAGCAAGGCTTGCTCTTTCAAAATGTGAATATCATCCTTTATTCCCTAGAGGGGAGAACACAGTATTAAAGCAAGCTGACTTACTTCCCCACTTAAAACAAGGATCTAGCCTCCAGCCCTGCTCATTGACAGGTGTATCACTAGGAATTGCAAGCAGCATGAACTAGCAATTGCATCGAGTGAGAACTACACTTTGTGACCTGAAATTGGTAACAATACACTCTGAGGTGCCGAGCTGCCACACAAAATGCAGCTTGTTCTGAGTAGGAAGCTATAAGAGACACTGTGGGAACATTACACAGCACAGTACCCAGAACAGAAATGCCCAGTTAACAAATTTGAAGATAATTCCCCGCCCCCACTGCCATAGCAGAAAACTCAACCAGGAAACTAGAAACTCAGCTGAGCTCAAGGCCTTTCTCAGTCTCTCGCACCCTTACATCACCACTATGAATAAAAGAGTCTACAAAGGAAACTTTGCTGACAATTCTGTTGACGATGCATAGGACAAAAATCTCTCTCTCAGCGTTAAACTCATTCAACAGGACTAACAAGGCTTTGTTTTCGCAATGACATAACCAAGCAAGACAAAAGCAGCAGAGAGGATGAGTACCAGAGGACCATTTTTAACTGTCTTTTTTCCGCTTCTATTCTGGGGAGGGTAATCAGCAGAGAATATTAACATCGGGGATTGAAACATCCACTTCCCACAGTTAGAAGGAAATCTTCCCTGGTGAACGTGGGACATTTCTGCCGAATTTTAACTTTCAATTAAAAAAAAGAAAGAAAGAAAGAAATGGAAAGGCAACTTGAGGTTTTGTAAAACTAAAATCTATTTTCCATTATATTTCTAGATTTACTTCTCTAGGTTTCCAGACTTCAGTATTATTGGTTGTCAAGCTTCAATGAGAAGATGACACATCCACACACCTATTTTAAGATAATGATAAATCCTGTTCTCAGCTTTCTCTCATTTTCTGAATGTGAAAAACTAGATTTGAATGCAGATGTTGAGGATCCAGCTGTCTGAATGAAGCAGAGAGGTGTACACCACAGATCTGTGGATGACTGCTCAGCCCAACCTGTAAAAATATCAGGTGAGCCCATAAAATCTCCATTCATCCAAGGAAGAAAGACTACTCTTTTTGGGGACTCTATACTAAGGGCACGTCTAAACAATGAGTTAGTGCATGGCAAAGTAGGGTGCAAATCTACAAACACTATGCACTAACTCAGTCCGTGTGTACCCTGCTGCTGTGTGCTAAAAGTTCCCTGGTGCTTTGAAAGAAAATTCTGCAAAAGCAATAAGCAGACAAGGACCTACTGGTCTCAGTGCATATCAGCACTAATGACATTGCTTTATGGGATACTTGACCGATTATAGATGACTTCAGGGAACTCTGAAGGAGAAGAATGGCTAAGTGATCATCACGGAAATCCTTCTTGTCCCATGGGTAAAGGAAAACAGAAGGCAGAAGATTTTGGAAGTGAATTGCTGGCTAGGTAAGTGGCATAAGGTGGTTTGGATTTTGTGGAACATTGGTCTACTTTCTGTACAGTTTGGCTGGCCTCCATCTCAGTGGAAGGGGAACCAATCTTCAAGAGGGCTAGACCAGTCAGAGCTTTAAACCAATAAGGGCTGGTCTATACTTACCGGGTAGTTCGACGGCTGGGGATCGAAGTTCTGGGTTCGATTTATCGCGTCTGGTCTGGACGCGATAAATCGAACCAGGAAGTGCTCACCGTCGACTGCGGTACTCCAGCTCAATGAGAGGAGTACCGCGGAGTCGACGGGGAGCCTGCCTGCCGTGTGTGGACCGCGTCTGAACCGCAGTAAGTTCGAAGTAAGGTATGTCGAATTCAGCTACATTATTCACGTAGCTGAATTTGCGTACCTTACTTCGACTTGGGGGGGGTAAGTGTAGACCAAGCCTAACAAAAAGAGGGGACAAATGAGCATTTATTTAGCACAAAATTATGATGTTGTGAACAAAAACAATCAAGTTACAAAAGGACGTGAAGAAAATAAATTATTTACTTGCTTATACACCAATAATAGGAGTCTGGCTAATAAACAGAAAGAATTGGAAGTTCATAGTAGTGAGTATAAATCAGAAGCTAGGAACTGTAGAAAACTGATAAGGAAAGCAAAAGGACACAAGGAAAAAAATCTTTGGTCAGCAGAATTAAGGAGAATAAGAGTTTTTTTAAAGTATATTAGGAACAAAAGGAATCCTAACAATGGTATTGGTCTGCTACTAGATGGAAATTACACAGTTATCAACAACACAAAAAGACAGAAGTGTTCAATAAAAGTGTCTGTTCTATATTTGGAAAAAAGTCCAATGATGTATTCATATAATATGATTAGGAGGATGGAAAAACATTCAATTTCAACAGTAACTAAGAAACATGTCAAACAGCAGCTACTAAAGCTAGACATTTTAAAACCAGGAAGTCTGGATAACTTGTACTCAAGAGTTTTAAAAGAAATGGCCAAGGAGCTCTCCAGACAATTAATGTTGATTTTTTATAGGACTTGGAACACTGGGGAAGTTCCAGAAGACTGGAAGAAAGGTAATGTTATGCCATTATTTCAAAAGGATAAA